ATTTCCGTTCTCTTTATTTTTTTGGGAAACCAAGAGAAAAGATATAGATATATATATATATTTTTTTTTTAATTCTATGGTTGAACACGTACCGGCTTCAACACTCAAAGGTGAATTTGATTTTCTTTTTCTTTTCACACTGTGAAGCTCCTAAAAGAGAAAATATATGTAAAATGTGATTTTATACTTTTATATTTGTGTTCAAGCAGAGAACGTACCTCTTTATCAGCTGTCTCGCCAACAGAATGACCTGGTATCATAACAATTGAATTTGTAGACGATTATTATACATTTTTTAATCACAGGAAAAATAAAATGTGAAATGAATAAGCCATACCTTTGACTGATGCCTCCTGTAAGCTAAGCGCTCTAATCCTTTTTTCATTAATTTCAAAGTGAAGTTTAATGTCCACAACCTGACAAAAAGTTTTACATTCAAATGTTTTGAATTTGATCTCATAATAAATTGGTACCGATTCAAATGTCCTATACGATGGATCCTTTCAATTTTAGGAAGCATACCTGCTCAATGTTAGACCAAAAGAATTCCACTTCTCTGGCTATTGTGCTGGCAATCTGGCGAAGATGAATTTCCTTTTCTTTTTTTGACCTCTCTACACTTTTCCTCTGCTCTTGATGGTAACGTGCACATGTGCGTGCCAGCTGAAACAGAATCAGAAGACACTTCGACTTTATATATCAAATTCTGGAGACTTTTGAACATTTCAAACTTTACATTCATTGTACCTTCTTTGCCGCAGCCTCTTTCCATCTTCTCTCCTGGACAAAGTCGGCTGCCATCCACTGCATCTCCTCCAGGAGGTAGTCCCAGTGGGACTTTGGACGAACGGCCTCCACAAGTTTGGGAAGCCTACTGGCTGACCACTGGCCGTCCTTTCTCAGCTCAGATATGCGTTGGTGCACTTGATTCTCCTAAAGATATGACACAGACAGAAAAGGCACAGACACCCTAAACCGGTTGCCAGCCAATCGCAGAGTAACAGCATAATCAAATACAATTAAAAAGAAATGTTTTGGTCACACATTCTCCTTCAATTATGCTGCTCATTCCGGTGTGCACGCCTTGGCCATCTGGGCAAGACAGACATAACATACAGATATACTATACTCGAGAATGAGCTCATCCCCCATATTCTCAGTACAGCATTGATATTAGGGGTTATTCACAAAAGATAAATATGCCTGTGAGTATTGCAATATCATTTGTCTATGTGTGTTGTAGCATTGTTTGTGTTCAGATATGCGACGTGTAAAGCTCAACAACAAAGATACATAGACGCTACTTAGCGAGCCCATGTACCTTTGGAGTTTTCCTTTGTTATGGAAACATTTAGGTAGCAGAGACTAAGTGGTTGCCTTAAATCCATGTGTAATTCTTTTTGTTTTAAGTTTAGTTTGACAGTGGCCTGCCGAAAGTGGCATTATACAGCTTGAACCCTCTTTGAAGAAAATGTATGGGTTATAGCTACCAAAGTGCCACTTATTGGGAAGTGAGTTCAGTCAAGGGCCACCATACAGCTCTTGTATGTCAATTTTGCACTTGGAGCTCACAGCAAAAACAAAAGAGGCCAATAGACAGCTTGCAGATCAGAAACTAGTCCAGTCAAGACCGGTCACTCATCTCAACGCACCGCTAAAATTGAAATGGGACCAAAAAAAAAAAAAAAAGAAAAACTCTTATTTAGATTATAATCAAGACAATGATGTTAGTTTATATAAGAGCTCAATCATCAAAAACCTAATCCACGGCCGGCACAGCGAGAGTGTCTCCACACCACTAGTGGCTTTTCTTCTCTTTTTAAAGTTTTTTTTACCTCGTTTGTTTGTATTCCTGAACCTCAGTGTGTTTCTTCTATTGTATAAACGTGGACATGCCTATCTGTACTAGCCTGGAGCCACTGCAATGTTTATAGTCAGGATCAGCTGTGAGCAACAATGGCTATCAGCACTTGACCTGACAGCAAGGAGGAAATGGGGATGTAGTGCCGGTGCAGAGCAGTGAGCAATGAAAGTCTCCAAATCTGTCTGGATGTCTCTTATCATAGCTAATGTTAGCTCTATCCCTAATAAGATGGACAAGCTTGTGGCATTGACATAAGGGGGACTTCAGGGATGTGAGGCTGCTGTCGTTTATGGAGTCCTGGCTGGCATCACGGACAATGGGCTCACTCGTTTTGCGTGAACTTCTCTTTACTCTGTACTGTGTCCAGGTTCATGTATGTTGTTTTTGATCCTTGAGCACATCTAAATGGGTAGCCGACACATCTGTCTCCTCCTTGCTTGCTAATTATTTTTTGTTCCCTGCAACCATTACTGCAGCTGAAATGCTGCAAACATTTCCCCATTGGGGAAATAATAAAGGTTATTATATTTTTTTAAAAAAAGGACTAAATCACTTGTAACCAAGAAACAAAAAAATGTGCATCCAGATTGGTTATTCTGAAACTTACCAGTTTAGCTTGCTCAACTTGCTTATCTTGGGCAGCCTCCTGCGACGACGACGACTGCATGGTCGCACTTTGACCAAAGCCACTCATTTTGATTCCAGAGCTACCATTTGTTCCTGTCAGTTTGGACTGGGTGCTTGGGTTTGTATTGGCAGCAAGTGGGCGCAGAGGACTTGTTGGTTGAGGGGTCGGAACGCAGTTTGAAGTAGGGGTAGGAGTAGACGACATTGAGGTGAGCGATATTGAGTTGGTCATAATCCTTTGAATGGGTTGAGCTGACTCTGCACCGGGACGACCAAGAGTCACCGTCTATGTGGAAGGGAACAAATCTTAAGATTGTATCGCAATTTAAGTGTAAACATTAATGCAAACTGTATGCATATGTCTTCAAGGAGACTGACCGCTTGCCCTGTCTGTAGCATTGCCTGGTTTTGCTGCTGCTGGGGAGGCAACTGGATATGAAGACCTGATTGCATCTGCTGTTGGAGCTGGGTCTGGAGTTGTGTGTGGGGATTTGCTGATGCCATGATTGGGCCACCTGCCTGCACTTTCACCTGCGCTTGGAGCTGACCACCAGGTTGGACTGTACTCTCCACAATCTGAGCCTGCTGGGACAGTGTCACTGGCAGGCCAGTCATTGGGAGAGCCCCTTGTGGCAACCTGCCTGGCAGCTGAGGAGGTGGAGTATGTAGGCTAGCTGCATTCTGCACTGGAGGTCCTTTGGATGGGTCATACTGTTGTTGGTTCTGCTTCTGTCCTGCAATTTGGACCACTTGAGGTGTCGGCGGCATCCCGCCTAGACACATAAAAAACAAATTATAGGACAAACAAAGGGCAGATGTACAAAGAAATAAACGTGTGTATTTACATATGAAGCCCTGTAAATGTCTTGTGGTCTTGCTAGAATATATTTTTATTTTAATTGAATACAGGTGTTTGGTAGCTTTCCCTGAATAATAGAAGCTAATCATAAATTAAATAGCACTTGAATGTTTTTAATTGGAGCTCCTGAGAACAGCGCCAAATGAAATAGATGAAATTGATTGAACAGAAGTATACTACTTCCTGATGATCATAGCATAAACTAATACAGCAGAATGGTTACAGAAGAAATGAAATTAATGTGGTCATCTACATGTCTCTCAAACAAAACATTAGATAGTTTAATGCAAAATCAAAGCATTGCATTTCATGTTGAATGTGGTTAAAATATGTCCAAAACTATAGATGCTATTTTAATTGAATACAGGTGTTTGGTAGCTTTCCCTGAATAATAGAAGCTAATCATAAATTAAATAGCACTTGAATGTTTTTAATTGGAGCTCCTGAGAACAGCGCCAAATGAAATAGATGAAATTGATTGAACAGAAGTATACTACTTCCTGATGATCATAGCATAAACTAATACAGCAGAATGGTTACAGAAGAAATGAAATTAATGTGGTCATCTACATGTCTCTCAAACAAAACATTAGATAGTTTAATGCAAAATCAAAGCATTGCATTTCATGTTGAATGTGGTTAAAATATGTCCAAAACTATAGATGCACTGAGAGGTTTGGAAAGAGTAAAGATGTTTAAAAATGGGGAAGAAAAAACAACAACAAAAAGACAGCGAAAAGAAAAGGGAAAATAAAACTACAAAGCAGACACACAAAAACGGCATGTTTCACATGCATGCATGAAAGCTATGTCATTCTAGCAGTATTCAAGGCATCAGAATGCCTCACAGCAGCAAAGCACAGAGGTGAGCGCAAGGACAAACATCGGGTTTTGCAGACAGCAGGCCTCAGCGGAGCTGTGCAATCTAAAGCAGCGCCTGCCTTACCTCCCTGCACGTCACACCACCAACACCTGGCCCTGACACACCCACACCATCACAATCGCAAAAACCTGTGCGGTGAACGCAAGTCCTCCACATGATTCCCCTCCTACTTAGACTGAGGGAAAGAAGCCAAGTCAGAACAAAATGCCATGAGATAACATGAAGCGAAATCAACTCAATGTGACCATGAGATACAGAAAGACACTTAAAGAGGTATCGGAATAATGACTCAGAAACCTTGTTGATGATGCATGGACAACCGGAGAATGAAAGACTTGCACAAGAAATGACAATGGGCAACCAAAAGACACCGTGACAACAAATGGAGTCATTTAATGGGAAAACCCACAAGAAAGTGCGCTCATTCCCACTGGGTTCCCACTTTCTTTAATCCAAGTGTAGTTTAACAAAAATAAATGAATAAACCAATCAAATGAAAATAAAAGCCATCATCACATGGCAGTCAGTCGAAAAGACAACTGCTTAAAAAGAAACAAAAACAAATGGATGACAAAGGATGGCCAAAGACACGACAAAAGGAAAATGTTAAGACAAGGCATCTTCCCAGTGTGTGATGACTATTCTTCACAGTTGGAAAATCTTCTTCCCATTTCATCCTGACAGAGAGGCGGTGTTGGTTGAACTAAGCCTGAATTTCCTGAGGAAGGACTGCTGAGAAATCCAGCATCGGAAGATCACCTGATTGATGCTGCTTGGAGCTTATTTGTCAAAGGGGAATGTTTTGGCTCAGATACTTAAATCTTCTTCATGTGAAGAAAGGGAAGCATCCAGCAGCATACGAAGAATGGAGGGCCTCGTTGTAGCACTCCTACCTTGCACAGTTGGCATAAGCTGTTGGAGTGGCACGCCAGGCGATCCTAAAGGAGATACACCAGGATGCTGGAAAATCAGCCCATGGCGACCAACGTCAATCCGGGATCGTTTAGCCTGATCTGGGATTTAAAACACACAATACCCTCAAAACGGAAAAAAAGTACTCTGCACAGGGCAATGACCTTCCGAAGACCTCACAGGCCACTTCTCCTTCCTCGAAGAAAACACTTCAACATAGAGCGCTAGTAGAGGATGCCAAATATCTAAAAGCAGAAGCAATTAAAGGGAGAAAAGAAAAAGAACAGAAAACAAAGCAAACGGAGGGGGAAAAAAAGCAACAGACAGGAGTTTTCGATCCTCGCCCTACCTGCTTGCACCATAGCCTGTTGCCTCTTGAAGGCATCCATGTCTGCGGGGTTGGCAAGCGTGCCAGCTGGCCCTTGGAGTACCTATGCCACAAGAAATTCAAGGAAGATCATCTCGTTACCTATAGATAATCCACTGCAGATAGTGTTTCACACAAGGATTGCATCTATTACCTGAAATTGCTGCTGGGCAGAGAAAGCTGCAGATACATTGGGAGGAAGCTGTGTTGCTATGGCAACAGGCGTCACTGCTTGACCATCTTTCCCTGTGACAACTTTTACCTGAGAGAAGCAAAAGTTTTAAAGGAGCACCATTCAAAGAAGGAAAAGATTAATGTTGAGTTGAAAAAGCACTGAATTCTGGCTCAACCAATACCTCATCGTTGATAACCTTTGACTGTTCCTCCTCTTCCTCCTCCTCTTCCAGGTCCAAATCGTTCTGTCTTAAGTAAGTATACAAAGGAACGCAAGGCTTCTTTTTGAAAGCCAAGTAGTCCATCATATTTCCTTGAAGATGCTGAAGAAAGAAGAGTTCTATAAGGTATTCATTGAACACCTCCTTTAAATTGTCCATCTTCTTGGCATGGTGCTCTAAGCACTGTTTGCGTAGCTGGGCAATTTCTGGGGTTGAAGGAGCAATCTCCTCTAACTTCTTGGGAACCTGTTTTTTAACAGTGCCTAGTGCAGTGTTGGTGGTTGCAAGGGGATTGTTGGTATTTACTTGGGATGGGCTGGTAAGGGAGGGGCTGGAGGGTGGGATGGTGGAAGGTATACTAAAAGACGCCGTGGTTGTGGATCCAACAGCACCAACTACACTCTGTTGAGTCTTATCAAATATCACAGGCCGTCCGAGCTGCTCTTGTATGATGCTGCTGATCTGTGGAGGTAGGTTAGAAGTGGTAATGTGTCCAGGGCTGCCCAAAGTGGAGAGAGCAGTACTGGTAGCCACGGGACTTTGAGGTCCAAGATGGTGAATGGTGCCTCCAGTCTGTGAGTGAGGCTGAGAAAGACGGCGTTCCCTAACGGAACCTGGTGCTCCTGGAGAAGACAGTTGAATTTGACCAGGAGTTCCAGGTGCAATCTGGGCCAGCCCTGTACCATCCTGATATACAAAATGACCACTTCCCGAAGGGCTGCCTAAACTGATTTGCCGCACTAACATACCCGCCTCAACAAATCGTGTCGGACTCTGTCCGCACACACCAAGAGTAGCTGTGGGGGCTCCAGGCCTTGTGATGCCTTGCAGTGAGACTGGGCTATGCTGGGTGGGGCTTTGCGGCTGCATGGGTTGGGGTAAAGGAGATGTGACCTGGATGTAGGAAGATGGAGCATGCTCAAACCTCCATTGTGGTGTTGTGTGTTGGAAGCCAGGGGATGCTGGGTTTTGCAGGGGAAGCGGGGTTAGGGTGATCTGCTGGTTGCCAGTCACCATTTGTCCCACATTTTGTAAAGTGATGTTCATGTTCTGACCAGTGACTGGGCTGCGACTCATGATTATCTGATAGTTGGGAGATTGAGGAGCTGATGGGCTGGCAGAAGAAAATGTGGTCACAGGTGACTGAGGGTGAGTAACTGTAGTTTGTTGCTGTGAAGCTGCCATGGTCGCTTGCTGCTGCTGCTGCTGCTGCTGCTGCTGATCCTCAACTTCTGAGCCACTAACAGACTTGGATCTCTGGAGTTGTCGTTGAATGTTCTGCGACCCACTTCCATGGTGCATCGCGTGACACACTTGCAGTAGCTCGCTCAATAATCTGTGGAGAGGGGGAAAAATCCAAGGTTTACTCATAAATGCACATAGTGAGGCTTTTAAATGTTCCTGTTGTCTAACTGTCAGATCGTATTTACATCACTTTCGCTCTTAATAAATGAATTATGTGCTCAATTTGTGCTTAAAAGATTGTAACCAGAATACTGTGCCTTATGTGTCATCAACAGCATTAATCTAACATACAGTATAATACTCAATAACCACAGTTGATTTGGGTCTCATTGAAAGTAAATATAACGTGAAATGTAGTTTTACGAAGAGGTAAAAAAAAAAAAAAACAATTGATGGCCTTATAAAAATCCACTGTAGGTTCCGTAATTGTTATTAATAGCTTTTTTTGTTTGTTTGTTTTGAATTGCAACAGCCAGCAACGCATTAAATGTGTATTATCAGCTTCAATTGGTGGACACAAGAATGACTTTAGGATAAGAACAATTTCACAGTCGGGGTGTTTCGGGATCTCTTCTGTCAAAATAACGATATCGCTCAGGGGCGTAACGTTAGCTTAGCCGGTTTGCATCACATGCAAGGGTCCTCTGTAAATAGACCCACATATTGCCATCTCTGATAGTAAAGGTTGAATGATAGCACACGTACATTGCGTATAATATATCGCCAGACCTGCTACGGGGCTATATAAGCTATTTCAACACATACAATTCCCATCGCTACGGTACGCGTGCTAGCAAACGCTCGGAGTGCTAGCTTGTTATTGCTAGAAGGCCAACAATTACGAATAATAAATTAAACCGTGTATACTGTATTACTTACATGGTACGACTCTTCTTTCGTCGTTTAATGTTACCTACGTCATTTTAGAACAACATAAAAGCAGTAACAAATGTTATGTGACGAACTATAACGTTTCAATATTGCTAACGAATAGTCAATGTTTGAAGCTAATTTCATTGAGCAACATGGCGACCACAGCGACCTATGGTTTAACCCGGTTGTGGTCCTGTTTTACAGGAAGTTGAAGGCGTGCACAACAATTGCGATTGTTGCTGTTCCGTAAAAATAAATTGTGTTTGACATCATATTCGCATGGGATTCGGTATTCTATGTTATTAATCCTTATGAAAAATAAAACACCAGACAGGTAAATTGTGACTCCATATATTGAAATGATGGCTGATAAGTAGTCGTGAGTGAATCAAAATTATGTTCCCTCGCGCCCCCTCAATTAATCATTATAAATTTGGAGTACAGTACAGTACTTACTAGCCTTAACAGTTCGCTTTCGCAAAACTGACACACCGTTAAAAAAAGCAGTAGAAAACACAAAGAGCTCACATACATTTTATTCTTCACAAGAATCATACATTAGTTCATTAACATATTAGCAAAGTGCTTTTGAAATTCATGTAAAAAGTACACATACAAAAATATGCCATGCAGCAAACCGAAACATAATAAATAACATCACTTGCGTCACAAAAGTAACAATGAGTATCCACATATTCAATTAAAACTGTTCTAAATATCTGATATCAGGTGTCAATGCACCTTGAAAAAGGCACTATTATAAGCTACGTAATTACAGTAGTTGGTCATTTCGTTCAGCATTTTTTGATTCCTGTTTGTCAAACACCACTAAATTATAGCCTTTGTTTCAAGTATGGCCTGTAATTGGACATTTCTAAGTGCAAAACACACAAAAACAAAAGGTACGCAAAAAATATTGAGCAAAAATATCGGTCTCATCAAGCAACAAACAAACAAAACATCGTTACAAATCTCACTTCAAGATCAGACCTAAGGAAGTCCAGTCTTCTGTGCATTTGTCAAGATTTCAGATGCTGGACCGTGTGCTTGTCACTCCAGTCAGTGGTCGTTCCCTTGAGAAAGATAAAAGTGCTTATGTAACTCAACAGAAGGCTCCATCCTCTTCAATGCAATGAGGTGAATGGGGAATGACAACAAAGTTTCTGTGAAGGCAGTACTACAACACTTCGACAGTGCTAAGTTTTCAGAGCAGAGAGGTGTCGTTCAATACACTGCTTGCCTGGGAAAATAGAGATAGCACAATTATAACAACAATTCATATGAGCCCAGCATTAATGGCTTGCTGGAAAACTAATATTGCATTGAAGACAAAATATAATCTTGTTCGCACTTACATCTTTCAATACTGTCAATGTCCTTTTCCTCTGTGACGAATCGGGACAAACCCTCCAGAAGCAGAAGAGCTTTATGGTAGCGCTGGACTATTTCGGTACCACAGTGGAACACCTCATCTAAAGCTGCAGATTGTACCTGAAAGCAATTTGAAAACAAAACAAGACGGTGATGCAATATGAGCAGCACATCATTTGGGAGTGAGGGCGGGAACTCACCATGTGCACAGTTCGACAATAGATGAGCTTCTCTGCTGTGAGTCCAGTAAAGTGATCCATAAGCTTCTGCTTGTCCATCAAAAATTTTTGCAGGCGATTGCTCAAGGAGCGACAGCATGTAACACAGCTCTTGTACAATTCATTCAGCTTCTTGATCACTTCATAAAGGAGACAGTAGTTATTACAACTTGTCATGATTATTACTGTAGAGGAAGAGCCAATGACTTTAATTCTCACATCGCTATATGTGGAACGTATAAATGAACTAATTGACACAGATTAATGAAGGTCACAACACCAAAAGTGGTTTCACCTTGCTTGACTGTAGATGAAGGAAGCAGTCGACCTTGCTGGATATTTTCTTTGGCATCACGCAGAGCTGTGGACAGAGACTCTGCTGCTTTCATATACAACAATAACTGTTCTGCATAGCTGTAAGGAGAACGTAACACCACAAAGCAATCTTGGTCATCTGTCAGGAGAGGAGTTGGACTTTGTATTTAACAAAATTTTACAATGAATATTCTGACCTCCAGTCTCGACTCAAGAGGCTGATTTGGTCTGTCAACAGACTGTGTTCTATAAAGGAAGTCTCAGGGCTGCTGATGGGATCCAACACCGGGTCCTTTGAAGAAGCCAATTCCATGATACAGTGCACAAAAGCCAATACGAACTGGAGGTCACTCAACGCATCTGTATGGACCTGCTGTGGAAGTATCAAATGGATAAAACACTGTGACTACAGGAAGCTCAGTTACATGTTCAGCAACCTCGGTAACATAACTCGCAGCATTTCCTTTCACCAAATATTAGCAAAAGTAATGTGCACCTCCATTAGTGTATCTTCGGGTAGCTCAGGAGGATGAAAAACCAAACTGCAGTGTGGAGTAACATCCATGGCTTCAGACACACTGCTTGTACAGTTTCTTTGATAACGAAGGTGACTGTTGAGTAACCAGGCTGTGCCAATGCAGTTGGGTGAGCCTATGTTAAAAAATACACAGCTGAAACATCCAGAAATAAACAGCTTGTTGTTGAAATAAACTTTTGTTACTGGGTCATTTCGCAGTACTAAAACAAATGTATCATAATAAGGAGCAAATATTTTTAGCTTTAATCATGACTCTGTCATTTCAGGGCAAAACAAATAATTCCAAATATAATATGTTAATAGTTGAACCTCAAGTTACAAGCTTAATTGTAATATTCATAAATTGAGGTCATGATTCCCACTGAAATGAATGTAAATGGAATTAATCTGTTCGAGCCCCAAAATGAAATTATACTTATCTTAGATAGATAGATAGCTCTCTCCAGAGAGAGGGAGAGAGAGAAAGAGATTTATACATAGATCTCTCTCTAGATTAATCTCTCTCTCTCTCTCGCTCTCTCTCTCTCTAGATATACAGTATATCTCTTTAGATACAAATTTATATCTTTCTCTCTATCATCCATCCATCCATCTTCTAATCTGCTTATCCTCACAAGCGTCGCAGGTGTGCTTGAGCCTATCCCAGCTGTCTTCGGGCAGTAGGCGGGGGACACCCTGAACTGGTTGACAACCAATCGCAGGGCACACATAGACGAACAACCATCCGCGCTCACACTCACACCTAGGGATAATTTAAAGTAATCCATTAACCTGCCTATCCAGGCCAAAAAGACAAATTGCATTCACTCAACAATACCTGTCTGCTGCGTCCTTTGGAACATAGTATCAGGAGGAGTGTTTCCAATAGCTGGAGAACCAAAGGAGAATACTGCAGTTGGTGGGCTACCCGATGAAGCAAGCGCTCTATGATAGCCAGTAGGTGGAGCTATAAGTTTGAATCAGTCAAGTTTCAAGGACAGAGAAAACGGCCACAGCAATATCTAACAAGGAATTTTTGGACATACAGTACTATCGTGGTCTGTGCAGCAAACCATTTTGTGGTTGAATTAAGATTAAGGCCAGTACCTGTGGTATCCATGGTCTTTTCATAGCAGAGGCTTTCATTACTTCTCGGTTCAAGAATTTGAGCACCAAATGCAGCTTTAAGCAAAATGTCAGACAGTCTGCCAATGTTCCGTGATCTGGCCATTCAATACACAAAGAAAGCGAGTGAAGTGAACATTTAATCATTTATTAAATCGCTTCGCTATTCTTTGTACTGGGACTACAGACAATAACAATAACTTGTTCTGACCTTTTAAATCGGCCCTTTTTGTTGAGGGGTCTACTGCCATAGTTGGTGTGGAAAGCAGGCGCAAGGCTGGGGCTACACACGTCTATCCCGCAAGTGTCCTGCTAAGAAAGGTTTAAAAAAAAAAAAAAAAAAGGAATAAATGAATAGAAATAAGCAACACAGAAAAACCCAGCGTAAACCAAATGTTTATGCTGGGATTCTGTTTTCTTTCTTTCTTTTTAAATTCAATGTGTTTCAGCTCAGTTTGCGTGATACACAAAATATTTTGCTCCTTTTAGAGTTGATTAGTTGACTGTCAAATGAAAAATGCGCACCATGGCACAATGTGGCTTAAGTGTGTACAGTGATCAAATGAAAATTTATAATTTACATGTAATTGTGTATTCACACGCACACGCGCGCACACACACACACACACACACACACACACACACACACGCGCACATGCACATTATAATCTGACCTTGTGGCTGGGGCTGTCTCTCTTATTAGGAGACTCCATGGGACATTCAGTTCTTGTACTAAGAGGTAGAGTATGCTCTGACGTCCTTGGGGTAATTCCCACTAGATTACAGAACATCGAAGGCATCATGCACCTCATCTGTTGAGTTTAGATGTGATTCAGTGGATTGGTTCATACCACGTGGTGAGGACTGGGGTCTGAGTCTTCTAGTCAGACTTGGGGAGTAGGTGGCAGGGCAGGAATCATGTGGTCCAGATCCTCCGCACGGTGAGGAACTTTTAGTAGAGCCAGCATAACAGAGGCGGACCCTGGAGTATGTGTAAAACAGTCATGCAGAAGATCCTGTAAGTGATATGTAGAGAGATCAGAAACAGGAGTGCCTCTATACCTGGTAGAACCTTGTGAGCCGGAAGGTTGCAGATTCTGCTCCATTCGCTGGTAGTTGTGGATCTGAGTTGGGACAGGAATAGGCTCTGAATGGCTGCGGACACATAGCACAGGCTTCATGTGCGGATGAAAATGTACCAAAAATACACATGCAGAACAATGAAATAAGAAGTGGAGTGGCTAATGAATAACTCATTCAAACATCTCAGAAGACTTTTTTCTGATTTAGGCTGACAAAACCCATCCCAGTCTATCTTACCATGGAGGCTTGGAGTGACAATGCAGCAAGGGAGAAGATGGAGGTGTCCTGCAAATTGTTTCAAGAACTCCGTCTGTCATCAGTGGGCTTCTGTTGAGAAAATATCATGCATATTTGCACCATCCTCAATGCTGACAATTATTTATGTTAGCCATGTTTCATCACTTGAGTTATCTCCAAAATGAAAATAAAAGAAATGAATTAATTCATGTTTCGCCGTGACCTACTAAATCTTCACGCACACACACACGCGCACACACATACACGCTACAGCAAGTCCACTGAATAGAACATTCCAGCCTCACCCAGTGTATATCAG